GGGGGATTAGGCAAAGGGGGGGGGAAGAGAGGTGTGGGCTTCGGGGGCTCGGTTGGGCTGGGGCTGGGAGGGGGGGGGAAGAGGAGGAGGAGCGAGGATTGGCAAGGGGCGGATTGCTTTGAGGAAAGGAGGAGGGGGATCGGTAGGATAAGAGGGAGACGGGTTGGAGGATGACCGGTGCGGCGCTGGCGGTCGGGCCTTGCTGTCCTTCGGGAAAAAGGAATTTCCTTTTCCGCGAGGTTCAGAAGCGACTTTCTATCCCGGCGCCTCCAGTGCAGCCGCGACCGCGACCTTGCTTCCGACACCGGTGCTGGTGAGAGAGGCGAAAGGATCGAGGGGCTGACGCCGGGGCTGACGAGCCTCTGGAATCCTAGATTTCCCAGGAAAGGCAGCAGATGGCGGCACAGACGTCTCCGAGCGAAGGGAACGTCGCTCAGGGAGCGGAAACAGACCAAATCAACAGCTGTGTTTTTTCTTGTCGTGAGGAGAAACCTCGAACATCATCGCCTTCCCTGCCTGGACGCGTCGCCCTTCGCACCATCCGCTGCAGCGGGACATCGGCGAGACTTCACTCCCTGATCGACCGGGAGACATCCGTTTGCAGGGCAGCTTGATTTCCGACCGGCAGCTCTGCACGCGATGGGTTTTTTTTCACCAAAGAATTGTCCTCTATAGTCTTCCCGAGGGCCGCTTGGCTGGCACTCCCCGCCTGGCACCCGCCGGTGTCACTGGCACACTCGCACTCCCGCGCGAGTCACGGTCAAGGACAGTCGGGAGGATCCGCTGGATCCCGTTTTCTGTGCGCTGAAGGCCGTCCAACGGGTCTCGCTTCCGCCGCCGAGCGAGAGAAGTCGCCGAAGGATCTTTACTCTCTCGGATTACATCTACTGAAGGTGCGGAACTGCACTCCCGCGAGGAGCGTTGGCGTCACTGAGCTCCGAGGGCTGAGCGATGACGCAGTTCCCTCCCGCCTTGCGTCGTGGACCACACTGAGGGAGGCCGGGAGGCGAGGGGCCGCGGCTGCCGATGTTCTCTCAGTAACCTACATTTTGCGGCACTCTCTCCTGTGCGCGGCGTGGCGGCGGCGACGGCGGTGGCGGTGGCAGGCCTGGGATCCTCCCTCGGCGTGGAGTGCCGCACCCGTCACGTACACAGCGCCCTTCCTTGCCGCACCTGCTCCCCTTCCCTTCCCTTTCCCTTCCCTGCCGCTGTCCTCGCCTCTCCTCCAAGACACGCATTACGACACACGCCGGGCACGCAACTCCGCCCGGTTTCCATCCTTCAAGATTCCAGCACTTTGAGCTGCGGTCGGTCGCATGCGGCTGCGTTGCGTCACCTCGCTCTTGCCCTTCCTAGTCACCAGGCCCTCGCTCGATCCAGTGAGCTCTGGGCTTTTTGTGCACAAGAAGCATATCAATTTTGGAATTACGCAAATATGTGTGTTTATATTTGTCCCTGTACGTGTGTGTGTGTGTGCGTGTTTTGTGTACGTGTTTGTGTTTGTGTGTGTGTGTGTTGTTTTTTTTTTTGTGTGTACAGATAGTCAATTTAAGAATAGATATACCAAGAAAGTAGACAAATAACTTTGGTAGATAGATGGGTATATAGTGCGATCTGTAAAAAAAATGATTTACAGCTAATGGAAACCAACACACATAAAGGCAGATATTAATGCGTAGTTGTTATTAGTATTATTAAAATTATTATCTTTATCATCATCATTTATAGTAGTAGGAATAATAGCATGATTATTATTATTGTGATCATTATTAGTATCATTATCATTATTTTATTATCACTATATTGTCATTATTATTATTATATCACTACTACTATTGTCATTAATTATTATTATTATTATTATTATTATTATTATTATTATCACTGCTATTGTCATTATTATTATAATTATCATTATTATCACTACTACTATTGTCATTATTATTATAATTATCATTATTATCACTACTACTATTATCATTATCATCACTGTTATCTCTATTATTATACTCATTATTACCATTATCATTATTAACATAATTAGTATTGTTATTATTTTTTCATACTCATTATCATCATCACAGTTATCATTATGCGTTGAAATCACCACCGCTACTACTAGCGTTTGCTAACTACTACGACTACTGCTACTACTACTCTGCCTGCTGCTGGTATTGCTACAACAACTGCTACTACAACTAAAACTACTACTTTTACTACCACTTTACTAATTATTTTTATATTTTTACTTTTACTAGTACTAGTGCTACTACTACTACAATTACTACTGCTACTTCTGCTAATACTGTTTGTACTATTTTTATCATCATCAGCATCAGTGCGACGATAATAATGATAATGATGGTAACAACGATGGGAGAAATAATGACAATGATAATGATATAACAGCAGCAATAGAATGAATAAACACCACAATGATTTCGATGATAACAACAACAATTATTTCGATGATAACAACAACAATGATTTCGATGATAAA